TTAATTAAATATATTTGGTGTCATTTTGATTAATTATTCAGTACTGAATAATGATACCCTCAACTGACTTTCACTGTTGCATTTTTAATCACATCATTATTGAGCCTGGGCACAGATGATGTGATGATTTAACCTCTTGAATGCCAAGCCTGGTAAAAACTAAGAAAAACATATACGTGCAGGAAACAATATACTCTTTTTTAAGAGAACAACAACTTCTCTTAACATACTGTGTCATTGGTACATTGGAGTCTGGACTACGTGCACTGTTTCTCACCATCTGCCAGGAATTAATTACCAGGCAAGATGTTACACCCAAACCCAATCCATCAATGTTGGACCATGATTGGAATGACCTTGAATCACAGCACCTTACAAAGGTCAACACATGATCATGCTCCATATCTGGTCTGAACGGTGCTTGCTCTTTTCTCATAACAATATATACCTGGATTTTTAATGTTCATAGGATCCTCCTGTTGAAAGTCCCTTCAGAACTTGATTAATCTTCTCCAGTTGTTGTATTATCACTCCCTTTTCCCCTCTCAAGGGAGAGTCTGCGTTTATCAGGCATTGTTACATAACTCAAACAGCCATTCAGTCGTCTCCTGAGATCTAGTCTTCACCACTTCAGCACATAACTTGTCCTCGCCCTGGTGCTTCTTGATGGCTTTTCTAAATTTCATGGTGAAGAGCTAGATGTTCATGTGCGTGACTTGGGGTGCTTTTGGCCGAAGCAATTCTGAGTTGTTAAGAGGTGAATGTTGTTGAGGCTACTTTTAGCATTTCTTTAAAATGCTATGTTATAAAGGTGGAGAAGCTTTTGGTCAACATTAAAAAGGTCTGTGTTTGTTAGTCCATAGATATTAAGGGCCTCTCTAGTTATCATTGTGCTTAAATACTTCAAACATTCCTGTAATTAACAAATTTCATAAAGAATGAGATATAGAGGTCAAACCTACAGCAGTGTCTATGCTAAAATTCTGTAACTGTCAGAGGCTATTATTTCCAACAAAAGCTGACAGTTATAGTGTGAAGATCAGTATAAGCACTCCACAGGGCTCATTAAAATAAAATTAAGCTCTCTGAATGCAGGTCATTTGTGGGTTACTAATGTAATTACAAAGAGCCGGCCTTAGCCAGGCATTCCATAGTGATCTTTCAGCAGTACAGTGCTTTCCTGTTTTTCCATCTCTTATTCGCCTCTCTATAGAAATATGTGAACTGCATAGTCTTCCCATCATCCCAAATGGAAAATTATTAAATGGACATATCTGTATGAGCATAATTTAGACAGTGGCCTGCTTACCTCCAATATATTTTCAGAAATGTGTGCACTCTTTCTTTATTTGCAAATATGACCTTTGAAATGATTGTTTTGCTATATCAATAAAGGAAGAACAGTGGCATGAGGTATAGGTCTCATTCAGTCGAAAGCTTTTCATTAGCAGTATGGTGTCTTTTGACAGTGTTGCCAGATAAAAGAAACAGGCATACATTTCGCATTGTGGCTTAATTCCCATTTGTACAGTCTAATGAGCAGCTGAAACCAGAGAGATTGTTTACTGAGGAAAAAGAGAAGCACAAGAAAGTGTGCTGGATCCAGGTTAGTTCAATTATCCATGCCAATGTTTTAAAGACGATAGGACTGTAACATAAAAGCAACTGTTCGTGTATTAAAGAGGGTCAATTACATTGCAATTGAATTATAACCATGTCATAGTCCATAATTAACCACTGGGGTGCTTACTTGAAGTTGCAGTCAGTACATTTAAAGGAATGAGCTTGATCATTTTTTTTTCACACTTAATTACATTATTCCATCCAAATCTTCAATATGGAAAGAAGAACAGCTTGATGTGGCATACGTCCTATGTCTCTTTTGTAACTGTTCTTCAGATTTTTTTTCTTTTGCGCTGATGAATTAATGATTACTGTTTATTGTGGAGCTTTCTAAAAAATCTTTTCAGGGGCAAGTTGTATGACTACTTTGATTGACCTACACTATAAGGCTTGGAAACGTCCATTAAATGTAGTAATTTTGTTTTCTTTTTCTCCTTCATCTAAAGATTAAATCTTATTGAATCCAATTCCTTAAATTCGATTCTAAAAAGAACTAAAAATCTAAATATCCCCTGCTTTTTATGTTTATATAGTGAGAACCACTTTGTTTTGAGTAGCCTAAGCTAAAAAAATAAGTAATATATATTAACAAACTGAGTTTCACTAATTAAGTAGCAATTAGGCAACCTCTAAAATGAACAAGTTTCTACCTCATAGCATGAGTACATTAATTTGCACTTTCATACTGATAATGGAAAGAAAAAAAATAGTACTGGGAATTTAATATCCTGTATTGGTGGAGGACAGAAAAATAGTTTTTCTTTAGAGGGTGTTACAGTTCATCCTGGCTTTTATTTTGCCTTATTTGTGACCCCGTCGTTTTTGATCTGGTCACACAAAAAAAGGCATTTCCCACTTCCAGCCAGTAACTCTGCTTATTCAGTTTCAGAACTTCTGTTTTTAAGTCCAGGTGGAACTTCACTGCAAACGTTTACGAAACATGACCAAAAATGCTTACTAAGGCATTCTTAAAATAGACTATAGCAGAGATAGTCCTAATTAGATCTTTTTCTCCAACTGAACTTATTTTAAAAGTTCAGTTTTATATTCACTGAATTTTAACTCCCCTCTGGTCCTGACAAAAACACTATTTCTTAATAGCTTTTTAAAAATAATTGCATATTTATGTTTTTGTCTTTTAAAAGACAGTATTGTTTCTGTCCAAAAGTAATGCCATTACTCAATTTGGCAGAAATATGCTTTATGCAATCCTAAAACTTTTCAAATTAATTTCAATTTGTAATAGCAAATTCCAGTTTTATTTTAGATTCATTCTAGATTTGTAAATTATGGGGAACGAGAATATTTTTCTTAAACTGATTTGTTAATCAAATGGAAGTGTGGTTTCTTGGTAATTAATTCTTTGCGGTCTGCGTATTTAACTTTTGAAAGGATGCTCTTGATAGCAAGATATCAACTGCAAAAAGTGGAAGTAAATCATCCTACCAGATAGATCTTAATCTATAGCTTAGTCTATAGCTTTCCTTTTTTCCTACAAAAAAGTAAAGCAAAATAAATCCTCTGAGATACTGGTTCAAGTACAGAGACATTGTCGCAGCAGATGGCTTATCTTTATTTGTATTTGTTTTTCTGAGTTCCACATGATGTCGTGATTTTGCAGATATATGTCTGAGAGGGCTCTGTCAAAAACACACGAAAGGGCATTTCAGTGCCAGTTTGAAAGGGTGACATTTCAATGAAACCCAGGTTGCTGACGACACTCCTTTCCCGGACATTGACGGACAGCTAGACCATTGAAATGTGAAGCCTTGCTTTGTTTCCTCTTCACAGGCTGCTGCTGTAGAATCTTAACACTGTGTGGCATAAGTGCAAGGCACAACAAATAAACAGGAGCTAGACAACCTCTTTAAAACTGTTACCCAACACTTGGTGTTGGCAGGCTGTAACAATAGCTAACAGACACTTTACTTTGTTTTTTTTTTTACCACGAGAAAACCTGAACAGAATTTATAATAGCCTGATCTGTGCCAGTATGCAATGACTGCATGTGGGTAATTTTCCTGACTGACCGTGGGCTGGTCTCCAATTCTATGTTTTGTGTTGCAGTAATAAGATCACAGGCCTTGTTTTCTTGCAGTTTTGCATAATGTGGGGCGGTAAGATTCCCTGAAGTGAAAACACCTAGTCCCTGATACAGTGCCTTGCGAAAGTATTCGGCCCCCTTGAACTTTTCAACCTTTTGCCACATTTCAGGCTTCAAACATAAAGATATA